TCTTCTCCCTCACTCCTACATACAGGGAAGCTCTCTGGCTCGGCAGCACTCTCCAGTTTACATTTCATTACACAGCGGGGATAGCCTGGTCTCCCTTCTTCCCAAGGACAGCTAAGAGATGCAAGAGACAATGGGCCGCATTGCACCAAGCACAAGACTTTTTGTGGCAAGTTCATGCTATTTAAAAGTAATATGCCCTCTGAGTTTCAACTCTTGCAAATAGTGACTTCTCAGTTCACTACCCACCCAAGTCTTTTCCAACTGCCTTCACGCCATGACTAGCTCTTTCAGTTAAAAGCAGGGAATATTAATTTCAGTGTTTTTGCTTCTTCTTGACACTTGGGTTTTTCAAGATGGATGCCTGGTCACTCACCCCTTGGCTCAGTGGAGGGGGTGAGGGGTGGAACAGAGGAATAGTTGCCCTTTGTGAGCATGAAGGGCTTCCGTAGCCATGGAAGTCACTCTGAACACTGCATCTCAAACTTTATGGGCATTGCGATTACCTGGAGGGCTTGCTTGATCAAGCACAGATGGCTGGGCTTCATCCCCAGAGCTCCTGGTTCAGTAGGTTGGGATAGGGCAGAAAAGTGCACTTCTTTTTTGTTATTTTTTAAAGAAAATTTTAGGTTCAGGGGTACATCTGCAGGTTTGTTATATAGGTGAACTCGTGTCGCAGGGGCTTGCTGTACAGATTATTTTATCACCCAGGTATTAAGCCTGGTACCCAATACTTATTTTTCCTGAGTCTCTCCCTCCTCCCACCCTCTACCCTCAGGTAGGCCCCAGTGTCTTGTTCCCTTCTTTGTGTTCATGTGTTCTCATCATTAGGTCCCACCTTTAAATGAGAATATGCAGTATTTGGTTTTCTATTCCTGTGTTGGTTTGCTAAGGATAATGGCCTCCTATTCCATCCAGGTTTCTGCAAAGGACATGATCTCATTCTTTTCTATGGCTGCATAGTATTTCTAACCAGTTCTCAGGAGACCCTGCTACTGTTGCTTCAGGGAGTACACCTTGGGAACACTTTAAAGCATGTATTCTCACACTTGAATGTGCACACACATCACCTGGAGATCAAATTAAAATGTAGCATCTATCTGACTCACTAGGTTGGGGGAGGGTTGTAAGTTCTTCTTTTCCCACAAGCTCCCAGAAATGCAGCAGCAGCAGCAGCAGTAGCAGCAGCAGCAGCAGCAGAGTGAGTTGCCAAGCTCTAGGGAAGTGATTTTCAATCCTGGTTTCATGTTAGAACGATCTGGGGATCTTTTAACATTTCCAGGGAAGCCAGATGCAGAGGCTCAGACATCATCCCATTGCTTTGGGAGCTCAACGTGGAAGGATTGCTTGAGGTCTGGAGTTCAAGACCAGCCTGGGCAACATAGTGAGATGGCATCTCTAAAAAAATTTAACGATTATCTGGGTGTGGTGGTGTGCACCTGTGGTCCCAGCTACTTGGGAGACTGAGATGGGAGGATTTCTTGAGCCCAGGAGTTTAAGGCTGTGTGAGCTATGATCTATGATGGCACCACTCCACTCCAGTCTGGGTAACAGAGCTCACCCCAACCACAATTCAGACCAATTTAATCAGAGTATCTTGGGTGGGATCCAAGCATTTGGATTTTTAAATCCATGTGATTCCAACGCAGAGTGAAAGGGGCTATTTTTATTGCCAATTCTTCCTGGGTGACACACACGTGTCCTATTCTTGTGAGTGGAATCATTGCTTCTCTAATCTGAAGCTGCCAAAATTGGTGGGTCAGAGCTCTGACTTCTGTAGTTCAAAACAGAAGCTGTTGAGGAGGGTTATCTGAAGATGGGGAGCCTGACACAAGCTTTTCCTCTCCTTAAAATGGGGTAAATAATATAGCTACATCATAGATTTATGCAAAAAGATTATGTAAAAAATTCATGCTAAGTGTTTTAGCACAGTGCCAGGCTCAGCAAATATTTGTAATAATATTGTCTATCATCATAGTAATCCAACTACTTACCCAAAACCTTCACTCATTTCTCAATATTTCCACCTGAGGATTCCCAAGCATGCTTGAACTGCTCCACTGGCTGACAACTTGTTTCTCATGGAGAGTCTGGAATATTGGAAATGCTCCTTTCTGTTGAGCTGCCATCTTATTTCTTGTCAGTTCTAATAACTAATCCTAGTTAAACTCTTTGGATTGCTATAGGACAGTTCTCATGTCCCTCCCACATAAGACTCATTTTAACATTGAAGACCAGTTTTTCCTGGTTCTGCATGGGTTAACCATTTCCAGGTCACACATTTTCCATATTCCTTTTTAATTGCTCCCATTTTTGGGGGTGCCCTGGGTGCTGCTTTTGCATATACTCTGTTTTTTTTTTTTTCCAATTTACCCAGGTTTAGTCTTGGTCTCAAGGGCACTGCAACTCACCTTCCTTGGTTTAGAAGCTGTAAGTCCCTCAGTGTAAGCCAAGATGGCACCAGTGTTTTTGGTGGCTGCATCATCTGTTGACTTTCATCGCGCTTGATGTGGATTTCAGTTGGAGGCTTTGTTTCCCACATGCTTGCTATTTATGTGACACAATGTCCTATCCTGATCTTGTATAATTTTATTTTTTGTAACTGAAGTGTAAGACATCACATCCTCTTGCATTCCACATTAATTTGTCCCATTTCTCTGCCTGAGATTTTTTTTTCAATCCTGATTCTGTCATTTAGTGCAATCATTTTCTCCCAGCTTTATGGCATACCAATTTTTTTTATAAACTTGTCTTCTGTAGCTTCCATCAAGTTATTAATTGAAATGTTGAACACATGGGGCCGAAAAGCAATCTTTGCAGCAGGACAACAGAAACGCTCTTCCAAGTTGATAGATATCCTTTAATTAGTGTCGTTCAAGTGGTTTCACATCCACCACTCATGTCCAGACCATATTTCTGCATTTTGCCCAGACATACTTCATTAAAGACCTTGCCAAACCCCTTGTTATGGTCTAGATATTTTGTCTCCTGTATTTTTTTTGTCTCCTTCTTATCTACAGGTTAGTCTTATAAAATAGGGAATAAATAGAGTCTGAATTGGTTTCTTTTTGGGAACTCACACTGACTTCCAATAATTGCTGCTTTCCTTCCAATTTACTCTAAAAATATGCCCAGAATTGATATCAAGCTTACGTAGTAGTCTACAGCATGCAGAACTCACTATTCTCCGCTAATATAAGAAAGATGTATGCCTGCCAATGATATTTCCTGTTGCTTATAATTTTTTTTTTGCTTTTTTTTTTGCTTATAATTTATCAATAAAAATTGACAGTGATTGAGCAGTCTCATTGATGGATCTCACAGTTCTGTGAAATAGAATTGATCTAGAAATGAGACATTTAGAATTGCTTGTTGTATCCATATACTATTTTATTCCTTATACAATTTAACTTGTTCTAGATTTTAGTTTCCACCTATGATTTATCAAATGTCTCTAAAGTCCCACTGGTGTTAATGTCCTTAGCTGTGCAACACACAGAATACGACCAGATGCAAAGCCCCCACATCCAAAAGACAACACACAGAATATGACCAGATGCAAAGCCCCCACATCCAGAAGACAAAGAGGGGATTCATATTTGAGTTTGTGATTGGAGAGACTGAAACAGACACTCTTTTATCAAGTAAGATGGACCCTGAGGTTAAGGGAACAAAAGTTATCTGCTGTTGAGGGTTCAGGGCTTGGCTAGCATGGCCCCTAAATTCCTTATGGCTACAAGAAAAATCTTTCTTGCTAAACTCCCTAACAATAAGAACTACAGACAAATTGTCAGACCCTTCCTAACCCTGAATTATTAATACGACCTGGCCCACCACAATGCTGATTGGAAAGAAGACCGGCCTTATGAACTCTTTCCTGATAAGAAATTGAAGAGCTCAATCCAGTTTCAGCAGCTGATAGAGACTGTGCACAAACTTAGTGTCCTATAGTTGACCTTTTAAATAAAGAGTCAAGTTACACCTCATTTTAATGCTAACACCTTGCCCTAAAATGAATGTGGGGTGTACATTATGCATATATTTACCTATTACATATGCACTTGGCTTCCCACATACATATAGATAGCTTTTCCTCCAAACCTGCTGCTGAATATGTATGACTCTGTTGTGTAATACAGGCCCTGTGAGGCATAAAAACCAACCTGCCCTTCCCTCTTTAAAGAGAAAGCACCTTCAGCACACCTCAGAGACTGTCTTTTCCCAGTTTTCAAACTAATATGGCCAATAAAGCTCTTATTTCTACTATTCAGCCAGGCTGGTGATCTTTAGACACGTTTCACATTCCAAACAGGGAGCTGGAGTGAAAGCGAAGGGACGGTAAGGATATAGCTTCCCCAACCCCCACGATGCTTTTATGTCTTTGAGATTTACACATCATCGCAGTTCTAGATCTCTGCCAGGCAGCGTGCTCATTTGTGTTGAAGAGGCCGTAGCCGGTCCTTGTTTCAAAAAGTCCAAATCCCCAACATAAGATCCTCTCCAATACCTAGAAGTGATTAGAATGGGATTTTATTTTTCATTTTCCAAGTCAACAGATGTTATTCTTAACATTAGGTTTGATGAAAAGAGCACAAAGGTACATACCAGGCAGAATAAAGCAGTGATTTGGAGATCAGCATTTACATTTGAGGACAATAACTAACTTCACGGTCTCTTTGCCTTGATGAGAAATAAGTGGGAATGCAAATGGCTCTTGAAATTGCTTCAAAAAGTCTATTTCCTCCTCCCCTGCTCAAAGCCCCATAATGAAGACAACAGGTCTCTGAAGTATTCACACACAGATCTTCACAGACATGCGCAGGTGAGTCAGTGTCAACTGATTTTCTCACCACCTTGTGCCACCACTCTGGCCACCTCTTTCAAAGTCGGGCTTGCAGTTGGTCTTTCTATGGAGGCAGGCAGGATGTAGTGTTATTTGTTTTGATTTTTAAAGGTACTATTATACTTGCTTAAATAAGCAAATAAGAACGTTTCCCCAAATCATTGAAATTTGTTGGATTTATTTCTTTCTAAAGTTTGTACATTTACATATATCATATACATGTTTTAAATCCTTCACTATTTTGCATGATTTCTATTACATAAAAACCATTTAAATGCAATAAATTTTGTTGTTGTAAAACAACAAAATATCCCCAACTTATAAAAACACAGGAACAGCTGTATTCATAAACATTTACACAATAAATGTACTATATATATCACAGCTTCTATACATAGCAGGTGACTCACTTGTCTACAAGGTTTAGGTTTACTTTAACAACAGTCAAATAGGGTAGTATTTATATACAACTATTTTAATAAAAAATAAAGCAATTGTAAAATGTAAACTTAATTGTCAAAATATTCTTTAAACACTTTAACAATATCCACACAAATTACTGTTCCACTCAAAAGAGGACCACCATAAATGTCATCGTTTTCTAGAAGATGGCATTTCTGGAATCTGGCAGGTGGTGATGAGGAACAGGTTTCCAGTACGTGTTATAGTACCGCTAGCTTACCCAAATCTGCTAATGCTGACAGTATGGCCACTGAAAAGGAGCAGGTTGCTATTTTGTCACTAATTACTTTCACAATTTGCAGGGGACATATGGCACCAGGACTGCAATGGAACTGAAATGATTGGTGGAGAAAACTTTGAAGGTAATGTTCCACAATGCCAATTAGTTTGAGCCACAGTGAATATAACCGAGTTACTATAACAGGCTGGAAAAGTTAAAGGCTTCTTTTATATTAAAATATACAAATTACCACCCTTCTGCCTGTCCTATGGTCATCAAGGCTGACAAATATGAATTCTCCACTGGTGTACACTTCCATTCTAGAAATGAGTCCTAAAACTTGAGATCAAGAGACTGCAGGGAGGTGCTGAGGCCTCTACCTAACAGCTCTGATCTTGAGTGAGCAAGCTGCTAAGCTAGCAGTTGAGTGTTCCTTGACCCTTCCCTCAGAAAGGAAATGTTAGTCATTTCCAGGAATCTGGGTGTGGAGGCAAGATATCATCCATCTATGGTTAGAAATGTGTGCCAGTTTGTTTTTTGCAAAGTAAAATATGTGGCATTAGCTTCACTCTTTTTCATGGCACTTGTTCATGTGCCACGCTCAGTGACTCAGTCATTCTCAGGGTTGATACCTTGCCTCTGCAGGGTCACATTATCAGGATACCTGGATTCCTAAAGCAGGGGAAGTGGCATTTGAAACCCAGGCTGTCCTTCTGCTCAGTAGAAGCCCGAGTAAAGTGGTGGCCGGCGGGGGAGAAGCTCCTCTTTGCAGAGATGATGCATGATCATCACCCTCTGCAGGGCCCTGGTATTCAGGGCTCAGAGCAGTGAGCCTCAGACCTGCAGTGTGGTCCTTAATCAAGCTTTGGGCTGGGACTCTTCTAAGGGTGTCTGAAGACATGTTGATTGATGGGAAAATGTTAAGTGAAACTCCAAAATTCTCTCCATTAACCAACATTTTCAGGAATTGAAGTTAGGGTGCTTATTTCTACAACAGTATTCCTAAGAGCTTAGCTCTCTGCCCTGCAAAGAAAAATACATTTCAGTTCGGTTCCTTTCCTTTTCCATCCTCACTGTCATTGCTGATGGAAAAGTGCTCAACTGCTCAGCATGTTCAAGCGGAGCTCTCTTACCAGTACAGCTCAGAGGGGCGTGTGGACAAGCCATCATCAGTGCTCCTATAGGAAGGGCATCGTTTCTTCACTTGTACTCCTCTCTCAAGGGAATGATCTGCAGAGCAAGCAGCTCGGCCACCTTGGAAAATGGGGCACACCAGCTTCTGGGACTTCACCCAGGCCACGGAGAGATGCTGGTAACTGCTGCTTGTGAATCACAAGAAAGCCTTCAATTTGGTGGTCCACAAGATAGAATGTGATATGGATCCCCTCATTTATGTGTTAAAAATACAATGCATCTCAAAGTCAGACACTAGAGCTCAGATTCCACCCTGGCCCTTGGAAAACATCTTTGATGCAGTTTTCACCCCCTTTGTTCATCACCTCTTTAGGATATTCCAGCTCTTTGCACCTTAAGGTCTTCCGTTGGTATAACTTAAAACATTCACTGTGTATGCATGTGTGCAAACATGTGTACACGTGTCAGAGGTCCCAGGTGTGTCAACTTTTCTCCTTATACATCTAAGGGGACAGTCAACTGGTTCTGAATCTCAGGAGTAGACGACTAAACACATGCATGGTTACTCTAAATGGAAAGCACTGTTTAATGTCCCCTAAGTTTCAATTTGGTCTAATTACTCTTGTTCCTACAGTTTTACAGAAGTATCATAACGGCATTAAAATCAATGTGCATATATATTCTCTATGGATATTATTATCCATGTCAGATGGTTATTTGGCTTTATAACCTCCACAGCTTCGTGTTAAAGTCCAAACATCTCAAATGGTTAAGGCCCAAAAAGGAAACTTTTTATTTCTCCTACTCCTTTTCTATATGATTTTTGAATCAAATGGCTGTTTCTGGAGATCACAGTAATTCTTAAAAGGAAATACGCTCGCAAAACTAAGACCCTGCCAATCAGTCACAGAGCCAGTCCACTGCATGTCAAGAACCAATTAGGAAAAATGATATATTTGCAAAAATAGTTTGAGACTATAGAGTTAATTAAAAAAAAAAAACCCACAAGTGTAAATACCGACGCATTACTGCAGCCTGGAGGTGAATTTAGTCTCCCACCCCACAATTCAAACTCTCTGAATCAGCTACAAAGACATGAGGCAGTGTGTTTAAACAACAGACACTGCACTCAGCCACTCACTCAAACACACTCAGTCACTGCGTTAAATACACCAAACATGCTGGTTAATAAAATTTTAGTCTCTAGTTATCTATTTACACTCTATAATATAAGCAGTAAGCTCAAACAACTAAGGCCAGTGGCTCTTCTTTGGGGAGAGGCAGAAAAAAGAGACCTAAGTATAAAAATATTTAAAATAAAGTTTAAACCTGGTCCTGAAATTCTTTTACCTGTGACACTATATGCTAATTTGTGCAACTGCAAACCTAGGATACAGTACCCAGTCCTGGGATGCCCTGACACACTTCAGTGCTTGTGATATCTCTTCCAAGTAAAGTGAGTACGGATGCGGCACCAGGAGAGTGGTTTGATCTCCCATAAAATATACACAAATACATAAAAGATATGGTGGGTACTTAATTCCTCTGAAAGCTATATTTTTATGGACTAATTACAACAACAATAAAGAACGTGTGCTTTAAAGCATCACATTTTGTAAGAAGCCCAAAATTGTCAGTTTGACTTTAAGTGCTCTTAATGCTAAAATTACTAAGACTGCACAGGATGCCTTTTTTTTTTTTTCCTTTTCTTTCTGTATTTCCCAGATTATAGGGAGCTATCCTCTTGGTATTGCACACAGTACGCTGCAAAAGCTTCACAAGGTTAGTTCAAAGTCATTTTTGCCCTGATGATTCAAAGCTCAAAGACAGAATTTTCTAGCATAAAGTCTTATTAAAATTTTTAATCAAAATATTATTTGAATTTAAGTTTAATAAAACAATACCACTATATATAGTCTCAACAACTTCATTATATAATCAGTCCTATGAGGTTGTACTTGCTTTTCATATCACACTGACTAAGGACAAAAATAATTTTGAAGTACATGTACCATATATTGATATGCAATCTACACACTGATGCATTTACATACATACAGCTATAAATACCCACAAATACAACAATGGCAGGTGACAGCATTTTCTTTGACGACTGACATACTATCTGTAAGAATATTCTCCAAAAGCCTGCAATACTGCAGATACACAGATAAATTACATAGGATGAACTGAAGAGACTTAAGAAAACCTACTGTATATACAATTATGTAACTTGCAAAATTTTCCTGCCGTTGCATTCAAGTCAAACTGTCATGCAGATTCAAGTATTTAATGACATTCTCTCTATGAAGACATTCTCTCTGCATGCAATAGGCCAATCACTGTCATAAGCAGAAGGCTGCCCACATGGGTTCTAGATACTGTAGGTACAAAAGGAGAATGGCTTTGGATTTCAGTCCTTCTTTTATGAGTGAGAGATGGACAAGGAATCTGAGAGAAAAGTCAGTGACAAAGCACTTCTCTATTGCTACCAATAATCTGTCACGGGATTATTCTGTGATGATCTCTGGATGACTTGGTCATGTAACGTGTTATAAGACTGGTGGAAAGAAATTTGCTGACCTGTGGCAGAGCAGTGGCATGGCCTGGAAGAAAAGATGGACAGAAAGCTATGGGGCAAGGTAGGAGGCCCAGAGGTACATCTGCCTGCAAAGCTGACTTACCATTTTCTATCAGAGTAACTTAGATGCTTTGAGACAAAAGCAGATACTATTTAAGCCCCAACTTGGGCAACTATTCATAAACTAGACTTTAGTTTTAACAACTCTTAGGATGTCACTTTGGTTCTTTGTTTTGCAGTGCTCATTTTACAACTGGAAAAAATTCTGTCATTTGAAAAGTGAAGGGATGACTCACTGCTTAAACTAAGAGAGGTGGCTACCAACCTGCTGAAAACTTGACCAAGTCCAAAAGAGTTAAACTACAGAGATAAAAACCTACAAAGCCAAACTTCACATGAATCAGGATGAAATAAGCTTAACTGATAACTACAATGAACAATGCCAAAGGAACAAATTCAAGGACAACTAACAAAACCCAGGAAGGTTTCGATAGTAAGACAATGGAGAAACTTTTTTAAAGTCAATTTTCCTCCAATTGTCAATGACTAGGTAAAAAGAGAAGAGTATAGCTCATGACAAGCCGGCCCTGCCTTTCATCCTTCCCAGATCTTTATACGATAGAGGGAGCAACAGGCAAAGGACAGCAGAAAAGCTCAATGCAACTTTGTGTTTAGACCCTAAGAGCCCTCTTTCCTTGCCGGTTGCATAAATTCTTCCACCATCTCAGAAGTTCCTAGCTTGGCCACAGGGTGAAATACAAACCTAGCTTAGTCTTGGAAAACTAGCCAGATTTGCCTTTTCCAGAGTTAATTCCTCATGTCACTTCTGCCTAGGGACCAGTTTTCATTTTCTAGGTTATGATAACAGATGGAGAAGCACAGTGGGTCTTGTGTTTGGCACAAGACCATTGCACCACAAGATGCTTTCTATTCTCTTCATCTAAGAGCAATAAAAACGGTTACACGTAATCCAGGGACTACATTTCCATCAGAGGATTCTACCCCATCATGGTTTTACTGAGATTAATTAAAATGCACAAAAGTATTGCTCAGTTTAATTAGACATTGCTGAGAGTTAGCAAAACGATGTCTCAAAAAAGTGCACTTCAGAAATGCCTATGGGTTGGCGATAAAGTAAGGACTCCACATCCTAGGAATTAAGTTTTGATTGCTAATGAGGAATCCAAGACACCTCCCTTTAAAAGCCAGCATGCGAGGCGGGAACCCCTAAAATTCAGATTTTATACATGGGCCACCTGTGTGGTAAATTTGCAACAAGACTATGACCAAGGTATTCTGACGACTAGCAAGATTTTCTATACTAGAAATGAACATGAAGTGTACTGATGTGAAGAAGAATGATTTATCACATGGAGGGAAGTCCCAAGGCTCCTGGGCGCTGAGGTTGGGGATGGAGGTGGGTGGCGTACCTTCAGAGGAAAGGGAAAGGGTGCTCCCTTGTACCGTGAGCTGGGTAACAGGCTTGGAGCAGCTGTGAAAGGAAACATCCTCAACTTCTTCTGGGTAGGTAGCACAGGAAAGAAATTATCACAAAAGAAAATATGGTTGGCTATGAGTCAGACTCTCAGAATCTAGTGAAATCAGTGACTGTTTCCTCCCATAGTATAAACTCTTGGCCTCCTTCATGCACTCATGGCAGACAGCAACTTTCCAGAAGCCTTAGGGAAGAGGTGTTCTCATTCCATGTGCTAAACATGGACAGCATCATGCTAAGGCAGTCTGAGATCTTGGCTCACAAAAGAACCTTTCAAGCTGTTTTTAAAGATCATCTATGCACACATGGTATACTGAAGCTTCAAAAGAGCCCTTCATATCCAATGATCTATTAGCATATCCAGAAGTCCCTGGAGTTAATATTAGTGAGTCATATGACACGGACAGTGCTATAGTGGTGCTGATGCTAGCTGAGTATTTCAAGACTAATCTAAATGTCAGAAATACTGTAGCAAGGTACCATTCAATGTATATTAAATAAGTAAAATACACATAGACATTCTATATACATAGACATAAACTGTGGGCACACACATTCAAGCCACTCAGGGAAGTTCATTTTTCTTTAGTTACTGAAGCTCATAGATGAAATGGTCTAGGTACCTCTCTCCCTTCTGCTTAGTGTAACTATTTAGGCAGAAAACAAATACCCTGATAATTTAGATTACCAGGAAGAAAGATAACTTCCTGTGGATATGTTCAATTCAGTGAGAAGCTAAAAAATCAATCTGGTACATGGGCTGTATTAGTAACTATCCTGTTTGTTTTACAGTTCTGAAACATAAATTTAGTTATTGCCTGTACTCAAACAAGGCAGAGAGTTAAAAGTGAGTTTTTTCAAAGGTATGGCAAAACACTTATCACAAAGCAAGCAACTGCAACCTTAGAGAAAGGTAACCCTTCTCTGGGTACCAGCAAATATGGACATTTACAGAGGGGAAGGAAGTAAATGTTAATAAATAATTCTGTAAATGAATGCTAGTACATTATAATAACATACCACTTAGACACTACCATGGTTTTATAGCAGGCTTTCTCTAATTCACTAGAACCATGCTATTCATGCAGAGCAGCTGATTCTTTGGTCATAGTACCTTCAACAAATAAACTGGGTAGAACTAGAGAAAATTTCTATGGGAGGAAAAAGAATAATCAAAGTGATTCTATTAGTTCTGAAGTTGTGCCACTTGTCAGGAAATCACAAAGGTGTTAAGTCTCAGTGGGCTAAACTTTCAGTCCTTTCTCTTCCTCTATAAGAGAATATTCGGTTTATCACCTCGAATTTCAAAGGGACTGTAACTGGAACAAGCTCATGACTGTAAGGTTAATAGAACTATTTTGAGTAGATAGAAAGAAAAAAATTTAAATAGATACATTATTTTTAGGAGAAAGTTCAGTAGTAGAGTGAAGTGGCTATCAAGGAGACTCAGACAAGAATAAACAAAGTCACTTTGCATCTGCAACCAGCAAATTCCTCAGTTTTCCAACCATGATTCATTCCAACTATTACTTTCAGATATATTTTAAAGAATCAATATCCATTGTGAACAACTGCAGCTACTTTTTCCTCCCTTATTTTGTCTTGACTTAAGGAAAGAACAAAAGGGGTTTCATTTTAGTATTATTTTGTTAGGAAGGAAGACCTCAATATCACAACCAGGACACAACCTCATGCCCACACACACACACACACACACACACACACACACACACACACACACGTAGAGTAAGAAACAATCTATTCCTGGATGGAAGGATATCAATGACAGAGATGATGGATTTCTAGTCTAGACCCTGTGGGAGTGAGGTAACAATTTCCTGCAGACTGAATACATGCCTACTGCTGCAGCTCCCCACGGGCCAATTATTGCCCCCATCCTTTAGAAAACAAAATTAACTGGGTATCAATCTTCCCTCAACCTTCAAAGGCAAAATGACTCCACGTCCTCTTTCCCTTGCTTGGCTGAAACGGAATCAGCGCTTCAAGCAAGCTAATGTGCTTCCTTAAGTTCTCAATCCTGTGATCTTCATGCTCCTTTCCCCTGCTTCCAGCAGGGTCCGATCTCAACAGTAAGTGCTAAGCTGCATGTGAAGCTGCCTCCTACTGGAGCATCTAGATTCCCAGCACTGTGATTCTTACTGGAGCATCTGTGAGTGCTCAATTCTACCTTTGTGACTGGGCAAGATTTCACATAAAAAGGTGTATATTAACTCCAGCTAGAATTTACTAAAGTACGTTTGTCCAGTTAAGAGTTTCACAATGGATTAAATTTTTTAACCTTAAAAAAATGTTTAACAGTTGATTTGAGAATACATGAAACAATTGAGCAGAGTGCAAACAAGAGAAAACCGAAAGAGAAGGGATACATAATTCATTCTGAAATCACGATCCCCTCCTCCTCACAGAAAAGGTGCATTAGCTATCAAGTTGCAAAAAACATCAAAGCAAAAGAAATCAAGAACAAAGACAATCTGTACAGAAACTAACAAAAATATACAATAGAAAAAATTACTAATGCACCATTTTGTCACAGACTTTTTTTTTTAAATATATTCACTGATTACCAGAAAGATCTTGAAAAACCCTATTTTGCTCCATGACCAGCACTTCCTGGCCACAGATGGACTCTAAGTAACTTTTTGCTTAATGCTTGGTGTTTCAGGTCGGTGATCCTTCCTCTCTGACACATTACGCTTGACCTTGGCAGTGATGGGAGATGTATCTGGGTTCAGTGAAGGACTTGAGTGCGACTTCTTCAGTCCTGCAGCATCGCTTTCATCATTACTCAGGAGCTCTTTGCCTCCTTCCTTGAGAATGCTGACATATATTTCATAGCGGGTTTTCTGAAGGCAAAGCCGGAGAACAATGGCAGTCAGAAGCTGTTCAAAATGCACACATGCAGCACACCTAGTGTATCACCCACCTGGAGTGTGAATGGCTGTTGAAGACTTTGCTTCATTTCCCAAACTGACAAATTCCTTGAGCACTTACTGGGCAGATGAGAGGCAACTACAGAGACTGACTGAATGCTTATCTAGATAAGAAATTAAGTTCGAATTTTAGTTCTCATTTGTTCTAGATTCTAAAGGAATGCCAACTTGGAGTTATTGGCTACCAGATGGAAAACCATGAACCTAGAATACTGAGGCATGAGAAGGGTCTTTAAGTTGGAAGAGCTGTCACTCTGGTTTTTGGCGGCTACATGGCTCTTGTGGCTCTGTACTAAAGTCACCTGAGCCTCCCCAGGTAATCCAGGCCTCACATGAAACCGGCTTGGATACGGTTGTTTACTCTTTTTCCAATTCCCTGCAACCTTACAAAGGCTTGCCTTGAGGGATCATTCCTGGCAAATTTCCTGTCCAGTCCCCTATGCGACCATACCACTTTCTAGAAGCCACTCTGGGTTACCCTCCATTGCTTTTCTGCTAGGATTATCCACTTCTCTGGCTATTATGAACAGTTGCTGCTATGAACAGTATGAAGTTTACAGAATTTCACATTATTTTCTGATACTTTTCTCACTCAATATTCATCATCAGCTATGTACTGAGTACCTACTATGTTTCAAACAGTTTCTTGATTCCCCTGTCTCTTGGATATCTAAGAGTTTTTTTTTTTTTCTTTTTCTGTAGCTCTGGCGCTTTTTTTTTTTTTCCCCTAGTTTCGATACCATTCATTACATAGAACTATCATATGTATACATATATTACAAATTACAGAAGGGTCTCAGATTCTTGATTTGATACATTCTGGTCAAAATAAATATTCCACCATCCTGCCTCAACACATGAAGAATTTATACAAGGCTTAAAGTGTTTTATTTCTAAATCAAAGAACATATCAGTTATAAATTGTCCCAACAAAGGCAGGCAAATTCTGTTTTGACTATATGTCCGTCTTAGGGATTTTTCTAGTAAGACTGGGGTTTTGTATGTGTCAGTTTTAAGTTAGTAATTTAGAAGTGCTGTTTGGGTTAACAATGGAAAAAAGCTGTTAGACATTCAGTGTGTTCTGGGGTTGGCCAGTATCCAAGTGGAATGGTGAGCACTGGTTGCCGATGATGACATTTATCGAGTGCCTACATGCGAGGCACAGGTCATTCATATAATATTCATACACAACTGATAACTTATCATCCCTGTATTACAGTTTAGCCAACAGAGGCAAAGAGAAGTTCAAAGTGAAAGTAAGGAAGAAACGAAACTGGGATTTGAACCAAGGCAATCTGACTTCAAAAAACATGGATCTTAATCTACATGACCTCCATTGATAGGAAAATATAAATTATATGTATATAGATTTTAGGGTGACTAGTGTGACAGACACTGTTGGTTGGTCAGTCAAGGGCCATTCTCAACTCCCTCTACTCTTATGTGCCTTCCACTTCAAAGACTAATAAAACTAGAAATACTTTCCCAGTATTTCTTGGAGCTAAGATGGGCCATGTGATATTCTGGACAATAAGAGGTAAGGAAGAGTCTTTTGGGGGGCTTCTGGGAAAGTGATTTTGCTTTTTGATAAAAGGGACAGATTTCAGAGGAGAAGTCACTGGTGTTAGCCTCTTATTCTTTTTTTTTTTTTTTTTGAGATGGAGTCTCACTCTGTTGCCTAGGCTGGAGTGCACTGGTGCAATCTTGGCTCACTGCAACCTCCGCCTCCCAGTTTCTAGTGATTCTCCTGCCTCAGCTTCCCAAGTAGCTGGGATTACAGGCATATGCCATCCCACCTGGCTAATTTTTGTATTTTTAGAAGAGACAAGGTTTTGCCATGTTGGCTAGGCTGGTCTTGAATTCCTGACCTCAGGTGATCCACTGGCCTTGGCCTACCTCTTATTCTTTCCTTAACATAGACATGAGTCCTAAAGCTGCTGCTCTGTGACATGAGCAGTAAGTATGAGAAAAAGGACAACATGCTAGGTCTGAGGAAAAGTGGAAAGATGGAGACAGCCATGTTGACAGGATGAGCTGGATCCAACCCTAAGGCTACCACCTCTAGAATCTTGTTAAGTATGAATAATAAATATCTTATGGGTTAAAGCACTGTTTATCAGGTATTGTTACTTGCAGTTTAAAGCATCACTAATATACATTCCAATTTCAATAAAAAAGCAACAAAATAAAACAAAGAATAAAAAGCTAAGCATTATCTCTGAAGGCCACATGAGGGTTTCATAAGGGTATCTGCTAGTAAAAAATGTCATTAGGATCACACATCAGTAATGCACTGTGTAATAAGAGGATTGAACAAGATGATATCCACAGTACATAAAGGATTCAAAACTCCTTTCATTGTAGGAATTTATTAATTAATTTACTTCTAAATTGCCTTGGTGGCAAGATTAAAATACAGAAAAGAACTACCTCCAATGGGAACAAAGTTTAGTAAAATAGTCTAAAGGCAGTTTAAAAGTAGATTCAGGAAACCAGTGTAAGGCATATATTATTTCATGAAGCTGGAGCATTTACACAATGAAAAAAGAATGAAGACAAATTTTTTAGATCACTTGAAAGGGGACAAAAGAAGAGAAGGTGATAGGGACAGTTTCCCACTAGTCTTTGAAGACACTGATACTACTGGGAAAATCCACCTGAAAAATACATGAAGGAAAACCATCTCATCCTCTCATTTTTCAGTTCCAGCAGCAAAGCTATCGTCTCAAATAAATTACATCACTGTGTCAATCAATAAACAAAAGGCACAGCACAGAGGTGTGGCAGTGCATGAGTCATCAGACCAGAAGAAAAGACAAAGCAGAGAAAAGGGAGTAAAGAAGCCAGAAAACAAAGCCCACCCTGTTGTTAAGGAAGACTCTGAGGGTTGATAAGCTTGCAAATGCTGTGGTCCATTTCTGACTTTAAAAAGGCTTATAGGGACAGACATTACAAAACCCAGTAATGTAGCTTTGCATTTATCAGTCTCTGAGTCTAGATTTTGCTGAATCAAACCAAAGATGCCTCTTCAAAACATTTTAGGAAAACTTTAATCTCAGGACCATTCAGCAGGTATTAGCCATGTCTCCCTAGGATTACAGACTAATCCACATATGTAAATTGCTATCCAGAGGATTTGGGGACAAAATAAAATTGTCTCAGAGTAAAGTGAAAAAAACTCTGAATGATGCTCTGGAGAGCAATGACAGGAAACATAACTTTAAAATTTCTTTCTTCATTGATTTCTCCTTGTATTCTCTTTCTGGGGAGTAAGAAGGTCACACTTCTTAACTACAACAGCATCACTGGGAGGGTTTATTTCCTTTCTTCCTATCAGAGAAGATGTGATTTGCATACTTTTTCCTAAGATCAATTGTGAAATTGAAATTTTAAGTGAAAGCTGGTATGTAAGAAAAAGTAAAGCAGCAGCAATAGGCATGTTAGAAAATTACTTTTTTTTTTTTTGAGATGAAGCCTCACTGCTGCCCAGGCTGGAGTGCAGTGGCACCATCTTGGCTCGCTGCAACCTCTGCCTCCCAGATTCAAGTGATTCTCCCGCCTTAGTCTCCCGAGTCTCTGAGACTACAGGTGGGCACCACCTTGTCCAGCTAATTATTTAAGTAGGGATGGGGTTTCACCATATTGCCCAGGCTGGAATCGAACTCTTGACCTTATGATCTGCCCACCTTGGCCTCCCAAAGTTCTGGCATTAGAGGTGTCAGCCACCGTACCCAGCCTATTAGTAAATTACTTTTTAAATGTCTGATGAACCAGCACAGAGACTGAAAATGATGATCAGTGTTCAAGTGGTCAACCTGGACCCAAGAAGCTGATAAATCATATTGTTGCAGATGCTGGTGAACAGCCTCTGCTTCCTGAATAGCCTCTTCTTTCATGCTAATGGAACTGTGATTTTTATTAAATGTCAATGTGCCCAGCCCCATAAGAGGAATTACGGTTTAAAGCAGATGTGATGACTCTTGTCTCTGTTAGTTTTTGTTGCTGCCACGTGGTCTAGATTTGACCCCTGACACATAAGTAGAAGTCTGCCAGGACAGCTTCTAAAAGCAGCTTCTTTTGCTATTCTGATAGAAGACGGAAGGCAATAAGGTATTTTAAAATTAAGGTATATACATATTTTTTAAGACGTAATGCTACTGTTTACTTAACAGATGTCTGTATGCTGTAAACATAACTTTTATATACATTGGGAGACAAAAAAATTTGGGTGACTTGCTTTATTGTAATATTTGCTTTATTGCAGTATTCTAGAACTGAACCTGCAACATCTCAGGTAAAGTTGTGTTAGAAATAAGTAGTTTAGACTGTTCCTCTTCAAAGGGTTTCACTTTGTTATGAACGAGGTGTCCTTTTCCAAGGAGTTTTTATTTCCATGTACTCTTTGTCCTGAAGTCCTACTTCCGTGTTCTTTGTCTAAAGGTAATCTTGTCCGCCAATCTATCAGCCACTCCAGCCCAGCCTTGCTCAGGTATGCCTGCCAAGAAACCACTCCTCCCTACTATAATGGCCTTTCCTGCCAAAACTGCTCTTCCCATCACTGTAATCCATGATTCTGCACTCAAATTAGCCAATAGCGTTCAGCTTAGATTGTGCTGTCCAACTCCAGCCAGTAGGGGAACAACACAGCAGCTAGGGTCCACTGTATTAGAGATAAGAACCCCTGCTCTCCTTTGTCTGGTGTCCTCTTGCCTTTGCTCCATCCGTCAGACACACCCTTCTATAGAAGTAAATTTGTCTTGCTGAGAAGTTCACTGTCTGAGTGCTTGCTTCCTTTGTGACTCCAAGTTTTTATTTCCAGTATCTGTGTCTGTAACCACTTTCAGGAAATGATTAGTATTCTAGTACTTAGAGAGAAAGCTTAAGGATAATTCTTAAGTGGTGAAGAAGGAAAT